GGCTTGTTGTGAACACGAGTTGTGAAAAGCTTTGCATGGGCTCCTGGGGTGGCAGATGGGTGTCAAACAGTGGCATAACCTGCTGTGAGGTTAGGAACAACACGGAGATGTTCGGTGGCTGTAAGGGGTGGAACAACATGTTAAGGATCCATTGCAGCCATGGTGCCGGGCAGGTGGAGCGTGTGAAGAAGCTGCTTCCCGGATGGACCACGCTTTCTTCTGTGCTTTGGAAACATGGCACATCTGTGGGTTTTCAAACATGCAGCGTTCGAACTCGAGGACTTTCTCCTGTCTCATTCAGAGCAGAGAATCAGAGACACTTTACGTGGTTTTTTTTCATCTTTGATAGAAGAATAGAGGCCACAGTGTGACAGTCAAAAAAAAGAGAGGGGGATCGACAAGGGTGACAGTAGTTTACAGTTTGATTCTCTGCAGTTTTCTGTTGATTTAGTTGGTTTATTGGGGTTTATTCTGTTCTTTCTTCCCAGGGAGTTTGGAATAAGCAGTTTCAGGTGAACAGGCTCCACTTAACCAAAACAATGTTTGCAGATTTGGACTATGATATTGAGGAGGATAAGCTGTGAGTATTTTGCTTGTCTTTTCCTGGTTTTTTTCTTACAATAGAAACAGTCTTTGCAGCCAAGACCTAATGGGAGCAGATAAACTGACCTGTTCCAGATGCTGAAGAGTGTGCTGAAGAGTCAGACTTGCTGTTCAGTCCTGATGTCTTGCTCCCTCTGGGGGCTGCAGACAAGGCATTGTTGTGCTTGTGAGCGAAGGAGAACACTTGCTGTTGCTCTGCAGTGACTACCCTGAGTTTCTAATTGCAAAGCGCTGGTGACAAATCTTCTGTAAATTAGTGACCTGAGCCAGAAAAAAAACCAAACCACATTTTTAATGGAGGAAAGATAATAAGAGGCAGGAAGTAGTGGAGAGAAATTCTGGACTCTTTAGGTCTATAAGGAGAACACTGGCATTTCCTGAGCAAGGAGAAGGTCTGATGAGATTAGCAATGAATTTGACGTGAAGCAGTTGTCTTTCATCTCATTTATGCTGTGCAAGTTTTCCTCTCACTTCAGGGAAGAGTGAAAGCAGATGAAACACTCTCTAAAGCATGGTAGTGTTTCCTCAGTGCCTAGTGGTGGTTGAGGGTGTCCCTCCCACCTCTAATCCTTGCATGCAGTCTTAAAAAAAAGATAACCTGGAAGGTCTTTCTGCTGGCCCACGCTGGTAGGCTCTGTGTTGGAATTGATGTGGTGAGTTCAAACGTGCAGTGCCCGTTATGTTTCTGGTTTGTATTGACTCAAATACCAAAGTTGTTTCAGACACATGCAGCTCTGCCTACTGTGTTCAGTTACTCATTCCCTCTTCCCCATTCCAGGGGGATCCCTACTGTACCTGGAACAGTGACCCTGAAGAAGGACTCTCAGAACCTGATTGGGATCAGCATTGGGGGAGGAGCACAGTACTGCCCCTGTCTCTACATTGTCCAGGTGGGCACTCAGGGAGGAAGAACCACCTTTGTAAAGCAGTGTTGGCCAGAGAGATGGGAAGTGTGGAGAGCTCTGTGCTGTTTGTTTGTCTTGAAGTGGAAGACATCATCTCACTTTACAGTGAATAAGATTTCATTACCTTACATAGTAGATGTGGAAGAATTAAGTTAAGACTTTTGAAATTATCCTTTGCCTGAGAGAGCAAGTTAGAATTCACAGGGGAACAGTGTGGCATTCTCAGCATCAAGAAATCCTACACTTGAGGAGGTACATCCTGGAGGCAAGAACTTCTTGAGAGGACAAGATGCTCAGCAAATGTCTTAGGAAAAGGGGAAAACTGTGACTACACCATGAACAAAATAAAACTGAGTTAGATAGGAAGAATGTAATTGTCCCTTTTTTGTTCTTCAGCCCTACATTCACCTTTCTCTTCCTCTGATTCCAGACTACCTGTGCTCTCTCTCCTCTCTGCTAGGTATTTGATAACACTCCAGCAGCCTTAGACGGCACCGTGGCAGCTGGTGATGAAATCACAGGGGTGAATGGGAAGTCCGTCAAAGGGAAGACCAAGGTGGAGGTGGCCAAGATGATACAGATGGTAAAGGTGAGAGGTAGGAGGGGGCCACTGGAGCTTATGGGTCGTAGTTTACAGTTTGTTGTCCATTGGCAAAGGAAGCCACTGCTACTTGCTTCCAGCACAGCAGTTTTGGATTTACTCTTTCTACAGGGAGAAGTGACAATTCACTACAACAAGCTTCAGGCCGACCCAAAGCAGGGCAAGTCTTTGGATATCGGTAAGAGTGGTTTCTTTCTCCCTAGAGAAAGTTAAAGTGTCAAAATGACATGGAGAGGTGAAAGATTGGTCCCAGCTAAAACCAAAGTAAAATTCTGGTTCTGTTCTTCCTCTTAACTCAGTCATTTTCCGATGGATGCTGTCAAAGAGAATTACAGGTTTAAAAAAACCCTTCCCTTACTTCTTACAATAGTCTTGAAAGTTAAATTGAGGCTTGGCTGTTGTTGTAGGAGGCTTGTTTTTCTCTGCTGTGTTTAGCATGGGTATGAAACGACTAGGTAATTTAATTTATTTATTTTTAATACATGTAAGTTCTGCTCGTCTGTTGAAAGTTTCAGCTGTACACAGAAATGTATCTATTGAAAAACACTGGTTGCAGTTTCTCAGCTTGGAGAACCATGACGAAATACCTAGTTATATTGAGTTTTGTACAACCATAAATTTTATAGGAGAGGCTTTTTTCCTAAAACAGTCTGTGTTTTGAACTAAGCCTACACAGCTGTCTCCATTACATGGTCTACCTTTCTGACTTTCCTAAAAAGCCTATCTTATTATTTTTGCTTTCATTTCTTTTCATGGTGATTAAGATACTAATGAATTGACAGAGGTTCAGGAAAATGGTGAGGACTGAGAAGGATTTCTAAGGAGACAGAAGTGTGGTAAAAATATGGTATTTTCCAGAGATGCTGAATACTCCAGCTGAGATCTTGGGAGCTACGGGCACTTGGCACCCCTGCAAGTTTGCCTCTAAATAAATGTAGCTGAGTCACCTGATTCCAAAGAGGGTATAATTGTCTCTAGTAATTTGCAGGGTACGACCACCAAAGACAGAAATTAATTGCATCAGGGGGTGACAGAGGTTTAACTAAGATCCAAAAGATAAAAGTAAGCAAAGGGATAACTCTGAGCATTAAACCCTATTTGTCTTGCTTTCAGCCTTGTCACCTGAATTCAATTGAAGTAATACAGCAAGTAGCATAAGCAAAATTTAGTTCCAAATATAATGAATGATAGGTGGGTTACAGCAAAGTGATTTAGTGGAACAGTCTTCCAAAAGAAGTGCTGGAGCTCTGTTGATTGAAGTATATGGGATGTGAGAGCAGAACAGAGAGAAGACAGGTGATGTGCTATGCACAGCGGGACCAGACATCCAGTTTCTATGGTATTCTTTTTCTGCCGACTACCTCAATAGTGAGTTAAGTTCAGACTGACCAGTTTATTCAATGCCTGGGAGAGTGGTGAAGTGTGCAAGTGTGTTTTTCATGCCCATAGAAATGGCCCTGATCCTGGTTTTCAACTCTCTTTTGGCCGTTAGTGTTGAAGAAGGTAAAGCATCGACTGGTAGAGAACATGAGCTCGGGGACAGCGGATGCCCTGGGGTTAAGCCGAGCCATACTTTGCAATGGTAAGTATTGTCCAGGAGAACATTTTCTTAAGGGAACACTTACCCTCTTGTGCTTACCAACTTTTTATAGTTACTTGCAAGTTCCACATTATTCCTTCAAAATTCTTTCCTTCTGCTCTACCTCACTGTTTTCATTGCCTCTCCCCTTCCTGAGTGATGTATCCTGTTATTTGGGCCATTTAAACGTTAGCTGAGGTCAAATTAATTTAAAGTGGAGACGCACTTAGTGAATGCTGATAGGTGATGGCACCACACTGTAAAACTAGTTGGCAGTTATTTTAAAAGCTTCCCATGTTGGACCAGGGAACAGACTTTAGAGGTGAGAGAAGTTTGAACCAAAAATATAAAACTGTTGTTTTTCCAGTCAGTCAAGTCTTAACCATGTCCTGGATTTGACTGTTGTAATTCTGTATTCTGATTCTTGTTTCCATGTAGATGGACTAGTGAAGAGATTAGAGGAGCTGGAGAGGACTGCAGAGTTGTACAAAGGTAACCTGTGCCTTCCATCAGGCACTAGATGGGAGAGGGATGCCTCCATTATGTTTCAGTGAAATTACTTAAATGTTTTTTCTATCTTCCCTCACAGGCTTGACAGAGCACACCAAGAGTCTTCTCAGAGCTTTCTTTGAGCTATCCCAGACACACAGAGGTATCAGATCTTGAGTTGAAGTGAGCAGAAATCTTTGACCTCCAGTTTCAGAAGTTTTAGTCAGGATTTAGATGCATGATTGCCTCACTCAAAGAAAACTAAGTGTTGCAGAAATGAGCTGGGCGGAACTGCTCTCCCCGCATTAGCGGTCATGGTGCCAACACAGGCCCTGTCTTTCACTTGAGACATTGAAGAAATATCCTACCAGCCTCTGGTCTTTAGGGAATATATAGCAGCATTCCCCAGCTAATTGCAAGGTTATGGGAAGGAGCTGTAATACTGGAGGCAAGATTCTTCTCCAGGGTCAAGCTCTTCTTTCATCTGTCTGTATCTGTTACCCTCATCCAGCATTTGGAGATGTTTTCTCTGTCATTGGTGTACGGGAGCCACAACCAGCTGCCAGTGAAGCCTTTGTGAAATTTGCTGATGCCCATCGCAACATTGAGAAGTTTGGGATTCACCTTCTGAAAACAATTAAGCCGGTAAAGAATTTAACTATAGGAGTAAAGGCTATGGAGTAGAGGGGAATCTAGACAGACAGAAGCCTGTCTTTAAAGGTGTGGTCTTAAAGATCATTCACTGTGGGAAGAGCTGTCTTTGCTTTCCTTCGGGGAACTCTCTTCGTAAAGAACCTAAGAGGTAACACAGTGAATCATCAGTGTTGTCCCTTTGACTTTGGCACATGAGTATATTCCTCTCCTTTTGGGGATGAGAGGGTAGTTTGCTCAGTGTAGTCCCTAGAGCCCTTTCCCTGATATTGGTACCCATTATTAAAAGATGTCACTAAATTTAAGAAAGTTTAGATAAGCAGTCCAGGAACAACTTAAGGATTTCAATCAATATTTGAGTGAGAGTCTCCAGGGGATCTGTCCACTTAGTTTAGCAAAGAGAGTATTAATTGTGGATTTGAGCACCACTTGTGCCGTGCTGGATGGACAGTGTTGGGTAGTGGCTTCTGAATCAGAGAGAGTGGTTTCCATGACTAGTTGGAAATGAAACAAGATCATTTGAAAGAAGATTAATTTAGACCAGAATTGAGGCATGCATTTCTAATGCTGGAACCACTTGCCAGTGACTGTAATGGATGCTCTATCCATGGCAATTCTGAGTAAAGATCAGTATTTTATTTCAGATATGCTCTAGTTAAAAAGAGTGAGCTCGAGGCAGTCTCATGACCTGTGCTGGTTAGAAGGTTGCACTTGATGAATTCTAGTGATGCTTTTTGGTCTTATGTGCAGCAACAGATGTTTCCCTTGCAGATGCTTACTGACTTGAACACGTATCTGAATAAAGCCATTCCTGATACAAGGCTGACCATCAAAAAATACCTGGATGTCAAGTTTGAATATTTGGTGAGCCACTTTTTTTTTTGTCCCTTTTTTTTTTTTTTTTTTTAGTGCTGGTTGAAATTAAGTTTCCTAGATCATGTCCTGAGGGTCACACATATGCCATATGATCACACATCCATCCTTCCACAATCCATGCAAGAATGCATTATTCTTTCCAATTCTTTGTCTGTTGACAAAGATTCAGACATCTGCTTTTGACTCGATAGTTCTCACTGGTAAGAGACATCTCCCAGAAGCCACATAACTTATTTTCTACTTGACCAAATTAATTTCCTTGTTTATTTGTAAAGAGTTCTTGTGCAACTTATGTTCTTGAACTCCCCTAAATAGCTCACCAACTTCAGAGTCCATATTTTTCAAGTAGTTATGGATAGTCTTTTTCTAGACAGATTAAACCACCGTCAGCTCATGTTTGTTTTCATTTAGACCATGTTTTTTTTCCCCCTTCTCTATTCCACTCACCCGTTGTTTTCTACACCCCCAAAAATAGGGTAGGGTTGTTAAGTGCATCTATTCTCTAACTGTAGGAAGCTGTTTCCTTTTGCCAGTTTAGAGAAGTATTTGGAGCTGCAGCCCCAAGGCAAGTGAATATGGCAGCATCTCTTCTCACATCAGTCCTTCCCACAATTCATCTTTTTTTTCCCCCTCTTTATTTATTGCCTCTTCATACTTTTCTGGTACTGTGTTTTCCCAAACAGTAGAGGAACACAGGATTTTTCTCTTACTTTAATTATACTTACCTAAAGTATTTGCTCCTGTAATATAATTAATAAGTGCCTTCTCTCTCCCCTGCCGTTTTCTCTCCCCATCTTTCTCTGAGTAGATTTGCTTTCCAGCTGGGATGTTTAATATACTCTGATCCCACTGTGCTTTCCCCAGTGTCCCTAGCTGCAGCATTGAAAGAAGGCTTGAAATGGTACAACCTTGTGGCTGTGGGTGATAATGAAATTGCTTCTAATTCTTAGTATTTCCTTCTTGTTTTGCTTTTGCCTTTTTTTTTTTTTAATCCTACGAAGTCTTACTGCCTGAAAGTCAAAGAGATGGATGATGAAGAGTACAGCTGCATTGTGAGTACCAGTACTGTGACAGTGACAACTGCATGCTCTATTTCTGCAGCTTCCCTGTGTCTGTAATTGTAAGAGTACTCCAGTGCCTGTGTGCAACCCAAGGTAGTGAATACGTCCTAAGAATTACACACATTTGTTCTTAACATACTAGAAATTGGAGATCCTGAAATGCTACCTAGGAAACACTGACAATAACTGTCATGAATCACTGGTGCTGTGAAATAGTAGAGGGACAAGACATCTCCTCTGCAGCTTGTTTGCGGTTGCCTGTTACAGTGTTTAAGTAACATTAGCTTGTGTAAGGAGGATTAAGGTGTTATCGTCACAGATTTCATTTGTGTGTAGTGTAACAGCTTATCATTAATTCTGCACTTGTTTCTGAGACATGGAGTTTTAGCTTCTCTAGCAAAACGCATGTGAAAACTGCATTTGTAGTTGAGGAAAATTGGTTAAAATATCTCTCTTAACAATAGAGTTTTCCTAAAAATAGGTAATTTAAAATCAGAAGACTTAAAAAACAAAAAACCAAACAAAAAAAACCACGAGAAACAAACCTGGCAACATTCTCCAGTAAGAGTTTGCTGTCTGGTTTAGAGTTTTATGACTAATCCTTAACATCTCTGCTTGAGATAGCTAAAGGTGTCCCCTCCTTGCCCAGTTTCCCTGCATAAAAGTGAGAGCTTGTTTTATTCTAAGTATTGATCTCAGAACAGGGATTTGAATTTTTGGAATGCCCAATTCCCAGGAAGGAATACAACTTTCCTAACACACGTTTTAAATTTTACCTTTCCAAAACTGCTGAATGGGAAGGAAAGAATCCTGGTCCTGCCCAGCTGAGTAACATCTTTGTGTTTTAGCGCATGCAGCTCACATTACCCCGCCATAGGCTGAACACAGATTTTATGTATGTTATGTTTACAGATATAAGAGAAGAATGTATATATGCTGTTTTGCTGACAGATCTAACCCCTTTTCTCAAAAGTGTTTTGTGGGACAACATACAGGTCCCTCCCTGCTGGTTCCCAGCATTGTGTCTGTATGGTTGTAGATACCACAGGGTTCCCTGTGTAGATGTATATGTTTTGCAGTCCATATAGGGTGAAGCTTGCAGAGGAGGGCAGAATTTTTTGTGTGATTGATGGAAGTTAATATATCCCTCAGACCCTAGACTTGTTTGTTCATAGCCTTAATAGTTCAAATAAGAGGCCATTCCTCTTTCCATGCTGGGTTGAAAGGTGCCTGTCCTTCTGTCTTTGCTTAGTAGTGATGCTTTTCTTTACTGTGGATGGCACGTGTTTGGCTTCCAAATGGCCCCATTGACTGCCAGTTTCTTGATGTGGCTCAGGTTCCTCACGTTTGATGCTTCCTGACTGCAGTTCCAGTGAGCTTGAGAGGGCTGTAGTAACCCAAGGTCACTGTGAGTCCGTACTGCTACGGAAACTTGTGTGCAAGCACTGTTGTGAGAGTCTCTAAAATGGTGCCATGTTTTTGGCAGGCCCTGGGTGAACCCCTTTACCGGGTCAGCACTGGCAACTATGAATATCGTCTGATCCTGCGTTGCCGGCAGGAGGCTCGCACGCGCTTTGCCAAGATGAGGAAGGACGTGCTAGAGAAAATAGAGCTCCTGGACCAGAAACATGGTGAGTACTGCTGCTGTGTCCATCGCCCGAAGGGGTCAGGCAGACACGGCTTTGGCCTTCATGCTTCTCCTTCATCCCAGCTCAGGAGTCTTTGCTGAAGAACCCTCTGTGGTGTGCCCGAGACATCCACCCTTAGAGGCCAAAAGGGATTAGTGCGTAGGAGATTGTATCTAATGCTGGCGGGGGAGGCTTGGTCACAGCCTTCACGCTCTGCTGGGGAAGGGGATTTTCACCCGATTTATTCCCAACTTGTCTCCACTACAGTGCAAGACATCGTGTTCCAGCTCCAGCGTTTTGTCTCCACCATGTCCAAATACTATGACGACTGCTATGTCGTGCTCAGAGACGCGGATGTCTTTCCCATTGAGGTGGACCTTGCCCGCACTACCCTCAGCTATGGGCAGAAGGACATGTACACAGATGGTGCTGAAGAAGAAGAAGAAGGAGGAAGTGAGAGAGAGGGTAGTGGGAAGGAGGATGCAAATGGTGAAAAGCTCATTGATGATGCCTGAATGTGCCAGCACGGCCAGAGGAGAGACTTTGCAGACTGTTATAAAAACACGTATTTCACATGACAATTCATCCTCCATGACTTTCTGTGTATGTCCAGCCTGGGATTCCTCCTCTGCTTTGGGAGGGGGTGTGTGGCTGGATTGGGACTAATCTCTGCTTTCCTCTTTATTCCTTTGCTTTTATCTGAATATTCCTTTTTCCTCCAGAGATTTCCACTGCCCAACTTGGGTACTGAGGTGTGGGGAGGAAAATCCCCTACTGCACTGCCACGACTCTGTGTGCAGACAGGATGGTGCTGAGCCTGTGGCATGCACCGCTCCCCTCTGGCACATGGAAACCAGTTAAACATCTGGAGATGATTATGAGTGGCAAGAACAGCCCCTTCTGTCCTCCCTTTGTGCTATGGGAAAGTGTTAGCACCAGCATTGTTTCCTTTACCCCACTGCTCGCTGTCTTAAAGCTTCCCATTCTCTGACCTGTTTTAGGCTTCTTCTGTCCTTCTATATGTCCCCATGGGCTACAGGACCGATTTTGTAGGATGATCACTCCCAGCTCTCTGTGCTGCTGTTTTGAAGAAATAGGAACAAGTCCAAACTGATGTGTAGAACTGGTGGTGGTACGTGTGATCTGACTGCCCCCCCATCCGAGGGGCTGGGGGAAATAGCTACCTGGTGAGCTGAGCTGCTGTGACTCTGCTGCAAAGATTTGGAAATCTCTTCCCCTGGGTACCATCCTCTTTGTAGTCCCTGAGGTCCCGTACAGTTGGCACTGTCTGCATAGTCTGTAGCTTACACCCCAGGGCTGGAATCCTGCAGGATGTGGCTCTGCCCTTCCCTGTGGGAAGGAGGGACCTGGCTCAGGAAGGAGCCCTCCTACTCGGCTACGGTGCTGAGGTGAGTGTGTTTGTCTGAGGCAGACAGGTTCCTGGGAATAACAGCACAGCTGCATGCATGTCCTTGCCATTGTTCTCTCTTACGGCTCCTTGCCATGGACAATAACCAAACGTGCTTCTTGAGGATGTGCAGCCAGACCTGCATGTTCTTTCCTTGTGCAGGTGTCAGGAGGAGCTGCCTTAGAACTGCAAAGGAGATCTCCCATCCTTAAAACTAGAGAAGAGAGACAGGAAGCCTTTGGAGAGAGGAAGACAGGGCTTTGAGATTCTGAGTGCCATGCGTGAATAGGGTACCACCCCGACCACCCTCTGCTCTCCTCTCTGCACAACCATCTTGTGCTGCTTCTGGGCCACCCAGAAGCAGTAGCCAACATCCCATTCCCCAGCACAAGGGAAGGAGGGAAAGGAAAACCAAGGTAAGTGAGGCTGCTTCTTCCCTCCTTCCTTTTCTCTTCTCTTCCCTCCGCCCCTGTGGGCTGATCCCAGATGCAGATGGCACTTTTTCAGTGGGCAGCGCAACTGCCAGGGGCAGTGTGCTGCTCAGAGGCAAGGGGTTTGACTTCTCTGTCATTACAGGCTAGTGCTAGTGAGAGAAGTTATTTAAGGGCATTAATTTATGATTGAGATGTTTGGTTTTTTCTCTTTGATTTGTTTCTGGAGCTTCGTCATCTCTGTGGGTGCCTGGAAGAAAGCCATCCACGGCCAAGCTGCTCTGGAAGATTTAAATGGATTCTGATATACTGACTGTTGTCTGTAATAAAGGAAAATGTGACATTTCATTTCCTGTCCTTCATGAGTTTTATTTAGAGATTTGTTTGTTCATCCTCCATTGATTTTAATCTTAAAATATAATGATGGGAAGGGGGGTGTCATGTGCTGGCCATTTTTTTTTCTTCCTCATACTGGTGGATACTCTCTATGCCAAGCTGTGGTGGTCACTGCAGCACAGGTTTCCAGAGCAGGAGGCTCATAAATGCTGTAGCAAGGCCAGTCCTCCATGTAAGACCAGCTTCTCTGCATCTTGGCTTCCCGGGGGAACACCAGCCTTGTAAAGCCACCAGTTGCCTCAGTCCTGCCTGGTGGCACCCTAGCACGCTTCCAGGGCCTGCTTCTCCACACAGCTCAGCTGTTCCATCACAAGCTTGAGCTGATGCCTAAGTCCCTGATCCCCTTTCAGAGCTGTTTGTTGTGCCAAAATACAGAGCAGTTAAGAGGAACAGAGGAAATGCTTCAGTGGAGCATTTCTGCCCCAAAGCCAACAGTGAGAAGTGGAAGGCAGCATGGCCAGGTTTTTTGCAACCTTAGTGGTGGAGGGCAGGAAGAGGGCTGGGTGTCTTACAGCCCCCTCTGTAGCGAGATCTTGTACCCTAAGGGCTTTATGTGCTTTTGTGGAAAGATTTAAGAGCAGGAGGCTTAGTGGGAAATGTTGACTGGTGACAAGGAAACAGAAGGGACCTTGTTCTAGTGACCTGCCTCGTGCTGACAAGGGCAGTTGTTTTCATGCTGTGGACTTTGGACCTCTAGGAAGTTGTGAGCTGCTTCTTGGTGGGGGTGTTGGTGAATAAGGACAGCCTGGGGGATAGGGGCTTGGGGTTGCTGGGAGAAGAGCTGCAGAGCAACTTGGTTGAGCAGAGCAGAACCCGTCCGTGATCTTACCTTGTGGGGAGGGGAGAACAAGCTTGAGGAGCGGTGAATGAAGGCCTACAGGGCTCCATCACCATTGCTGCTTCTTCTCGTTCTCCCAGAGCTTTGCATCCGGGGTTTGTTATGGTCTGATTTGAGATGTTTCTAAGTGGGTTTGAATAGGAAAAAGCCCAAAGTCACCACTGTGACTGGCTCACAAGCAGAGCTAACAACGGTGGGACAGGGCATGGTCCCGTGGGGCTTACCTTCTCCCTCCAATTTCCAGTTCTTATGTCTCTTCTTAAACTGACATTCTCCAGCAGCTTTATTTTGCTCACCATTTACTGCTCTTTGCTTGGGAGCATCTAGGATGAAACCTGTTCCTTCGTGTCCCCATTCTCCCTCTGGTTTTAAATGGCTTTACAGCCCCTGCAGGCTTCACCCATTGCCCATTAACTTGTAGTCAGTCAGGTCAGGAATGAAACACCCATTCTGATGGTCCCATGAACTGTCTTCCCTGTAGCCCTCTCCATTAGTTTTTGATCCCTCTCTATAGTCACAGGTTTTCCCAGGGCCTCTGAGGTGAAACAGTGCAGGAAACCGGAAGAAAGGGCTTTGGGCAGGAGTGTTTATAAAAGATCCAGTCCTAAAGCAGATTAAGAGTGCTTTAAGCATGCCAGGGAAGGTTGTCCTCTCTGAAGCTAGATCCACCACTGCAGTGGGGGTGAGGGGGTCATGCCTGCCTTAACATGTGCTCCAGCACCCTTGTTAGTGGCACCCAGAGGTTGTGGCTCATCCTTCTGCCTAGAAGGGACCCTTATGGGGTGTTTATCTATTTAAAAGGCAAACACACATGTGTCTGGTGCCCTT